TACAGGAATAATAAATTTTTATTTTTGAAAACAATAATAATAGATTCAAGAAGAGGAGAATCTATCTTGATTTGAACATTAACTCTAACAAACGACATCCAAGAACCCTTAGTTGTCAACACATCAACCGCAAGAGTAATACCAATCCTGCTGGTAATTTCAGAAATTTTATTTTCTGACCAAGAAAATAATGGAAGAATTGGGAATTTCACCTAAAGAGGAATTGGCTTGAAATCCTCATGAGTTGGCTTGAAATCTGTAGTCCATTTTTTCTCTTAAATAAATTATACTTAATAAACCAAGGGATACTAGACAAAATCATATCTAAATCTTTAGGACATGTAAATTTAGAGAAAGAAACCCTCAGTAACAGAAAGAAGCTCAACTGAGCCCTTTAATTTCCAGATCTTATTGATCGACTGAATAGCTTCTCATAAAAAGGGCTTCTACCTAAAACATAACCAATAAATATAAGATCCCATTGTTTAGAACCAACTTCCACCTCATCATCAGAGAAAACAACCTTATCATGCACAGAACACATAAGATAAATTATATCCAGAAGATCTAAAGAAATTAGAAGAAATAATCATTTTTAGATTAAAACTGACACACAACCAGGATTATAGAGGGATGGAGAAGAGTGAAGAGGGGAAAAAGAAAAATCCTTGAAAAAAGGAAAGGGACAATGCCTCTAAAACCAAAAGGAAGATCAGAATAACAAAGAAAAAATGAGAAATCTAAATTTTTTTCCAAGAGAAAGGAAAACGATGAAGAAATCTTAAAAAAACATTAACCACACAAAGAAACACTAAAGGGTTTTAAGAATCACGAGAACAATGCTCTCTGCGCTCCCGCAAAGTGCTTATCACTAAAATTCATTCTTTTGATATTTTTCGAACAGATAAGTAAAATTTAGGTGAACAACTTATTCAAACGAGAACCAATTGAAGCAGAGGTCTAGGAATAGAACGAATGATGGTTTTTATTGAGATCTCTTCTCATTTGTCAGAAATATATGCTTGTGCCACAAGGTTAAACCTTCGGTGGAGGGACAATTAGACCAACCATGGTGCTAGCCAACTTTGGATGCTTGACATGGCATTATTATTTATATTATTATATATTTTAGAAAATTAAAATAATTATAATAGTTGCATAAATTAAATTGATTTGAAGTAAGTGAAAATAATAATATTTTAATGATAAAAAGTATTAATATTTCAGAATAAAAATAAATAAATAACAAGTTATCATATTGTTTTCAATTTAAGATAATGGGTTGAAGAAAAAGTAATGAGTTATGTAATATATTAATTATAATAAAAATAAAAAATAATTAAACACTAAAGTACTTAAAAAGACTTGACCACCAATAATTTCTTGAAGTGCTATCTATCTATCTATCTATCTATCTATCTATCTAACTACCGAAATCTTGGCCTTTCGCTCTCTGCCTCGATAACCTGCAGCCCCGCTCCTTCATGCCATCGACGACCCACTTTGGACTACCTTTCCCTCTCGCCCGCTCGTGCAGCTCCCTCTTTCCACACCCCACTCCTTCAAGCGGTAGAACGAAGGAGAAGCCAAAGCAGTTGCCATTGTCGCACAAAGTAGATGGGAGTGCGAAAAAAAATTATTTTTGAAAAAGAGAAAAACATAGTTTCCGTGTTTTTGGTGTTTCTGTTTGTTTTCTATTTTTTTTCCAAAATAAAAAGAAAGACAAAATAATATTAATGAAAATTAGGTTCATTTATTTGTCACATCTATTGATGATATAAATATAATTTAATCAAAATGACATAATGCATAAATAATTTGTTTATATCAATATAAATTTGTAATTTTTGCAAGACACATACATTCACATAATTAGAATATTGTAATGCATGCATTACTTCGAATTGCATAATTTGGAACTAATATTGATCTTATGTTTTCATATGAAGCATGGCTACATTTTTATTATTTTAAAAAGGAGGCATTAACTCTAACAAATCTGTTCATTGTGTATATTAATTTACATAGAGTATTTCAATTAATTATGCTTCTACCACTTGGTGAAATGTGCATATCATGAATTAATGCATATGCTGAGCGAAGGAAGTCATTAAAGAAATGAGTTAAAGAAGCATATCCCATATATTTTATTTCTTCAGCATATAATATCCTAAATTATCATTAAAGTAGTATTTGTGTGTGTCTGTGCGCGCGCGCGTGTGTGGATACATACATACATACATACATACATACATATATACACATATATACATATATACATACATACATAAAATTGGCCAGAGGTTATGATATGAGTCCTCAACCAACCTCATGTGTCTAATCACTAGACGGACCCGCATACCAACATGATCGAACTCCCCATTCCAGGAGACTTAGAACTAACATAAGCAGATGACAACCAAAGAGTAGGGGAACACACGCGCACGCAAGCACACTGATATATATATATATATATATATATATATATATATTTTATTATCACATAG